TAAAAGTGATGGAAGTAGTGAGTGGGTTTCCGTGGGGGGGGGGGGGGGGGCACTGAGGAGGGAGAGGCAAGGACATAACAGGGCAGTGAGAGGCTAAATGTTTTCCCTTGCTGCCTCTATGTTCATCATTCATTACTAAATGAATGATGTATAAACAATAACTATGGAAGAGAGGAGTATTTATGTCATTTTATTTTTCTGATACAGATTATTTATTCTTGCAATATTTAAGAGAAACAGTTTTAATGGTGGACAATTAAAAAAAATATTAGGGGATAGATTGAATAAGAACTGCTATATAGTAAAAAGCTTGGAAAACACTCAGAATGGAGGCCAGTGTGTTAAGCAAGTGTTACCAGATTAGTTTCAATTTACATCTCAAGTAAAAAACTTAAAGTTTAATTTTAAATATGGAGCTGATTTCAGACCTATTATTGTGCACATGCATTTTACGTGAACACATTTACACCTGCTGGTAACGAAGCAGTATTAATGCATCTCTGAAAAAATCAGAGCAGTTATTTGTTAAATAATGTGTTTTGTTGTGGGAAAACTAAATATTATAGCATGCACCTAATGTATTCTGTTATAAAACACTGTACTTTACTCTTTACACAGATAATCCATTTTAGCTAAAATAAGAAGTATTAATGTAGCTCATATTCTCTCTTAAAATATTTGTAATTCTGTACTCCACTGAAAGGGTGATTAAGAACATTTTATAGATAATACATAACAAGTATTTTTAAACTGCAAAACATTAACACCAATATAGTAACCATAAACAAGTGAATTTACTAAATATTAGCATTATAAACAGCATGAATTGAAAACAGCTACAGTGTTCTAGAGCACCATATCAAAACAGATTGCAATTGAATTAAAAAGTTTTAATGGACTACTTTAGTAGTAAAGCCCTATGTGTGCGTTTTTTGTCAGACCAAGCTTTTCATTTCTAAACATTGAGGGTGCAAAGGCATATCATAAAGGCAAAATGAAAATTGTTCTAGAAAATGCAGCAGTTGCCAATTTTACAACATACTTTTTGTCAAGAAAGCTTTCTACTACTGTGTTCTCTACCAGAAGAGTTAATTTTAGCTTATAGTAGTGGTAAAAAGTCAGTTTTTAAAAACAAACAAACAAAACGCTTCATTTTTATGTTTCATTCCAAGTCTTCTACAAAGTCAATTTTTTTTTTTTTATTTAAAGTTATATGTAGACAGAGTCTGATTATATTTAGTGGTCAGATTATTAGAATTGTTAGTTTTGTGAAAAATATACTGGGCCTATATTATGTTTTTCCCCCCCCCTTGAATTAACATTGTTAAAAGAGTGCTACCAATCAGTCCTGTTCACAGGTATTTTGCTCTAGTGAACATATTCACTCTAGTTTTACTATAATTTACAAAGCTGCCAGGTGGATTGATTTAAAAATCAGTTTGATTTAAATCACTAGTTTTAATTAGGATTGGCAAGCCAGTCAAGTGACCAGCCAAATACATAAAATCCCTGTTATCCGGCAGGAGTGGGGAATGGTGAGGTACCAGTAAGCTAAAAGTGCAAATTACCTGAGGCACAGGGTTTCCAGCGAGACATGGCGCCGGGGCAAGAGGCGGGGAAGGGGGTGGTGGCAGCTGCAAAGTGGCATCAGCGCAGGGTGGTGGGTGATGGCGGCAGCTGCATGTGAGCTTCCTGCCCCTCCACATAGCAGGAAGCAAAGCAGCACGGTGCCATGTGCGTCCCACCGCTTTCAGTAGTACAGTGGGAGGCAAAGCGACATGATGTGGTGCCACGTACATCCTGCCGCTTTCGGTGCAGCGCAGCACTGAAATTCCAGTTAATACAGTATTCCGGTTGGTGAAGTACCAGATAACAGAGATTTTACTGTATGTCAATTGACTGCATATTTTTTCACCAGGCAAAGATTATAGCATTTTTACAAAAAACCTACTTTTTTTGTACTTTTCTTGACAGAAATATGATTTTTGTCACATTTATTAATGGAAAATTTGTGTTTTCTCAGTTTATTATTTGGACCTATTGGCAAGGTTTTTTAAACAATTTTTGATTGATACTTGACTGGTCAATTAACCAAACATTATCTGAACAGTCAAATACCCAACCCTAGTTGTAATTCATGATTCTTAATAATAATAATAATAATAATAAAATCACCAAGCAGGAAACCTTTATTTAAATAAACAACTGTAATTTTTTTTTTTTTTAAGGATTTTTCCTCCTAAAGAAAAGGTGATGTGCATTGGTTGGTGCAGCCATTAAAACATGTTGACTGGCAACCAAATATAGTTTTCACACCAGCTTGGCTCCTTTGGCTAACCAGAAAGTTACGAAGTATCTACACATTTTTTAAAACAAACCAACTCTATAGCTTAATATACACTTATTCAGATTCTTAGTTTTAACACTTGCTAAGGAATGGTGAATAACTGATTAAATTGCATTCAGATGAAAAACTCCTTAAATCATAAATTAAAGGTGTACAAAAAAGTTTTTATTAATCAAAACAAAAATCCCCTTAAAGCATGCTAGATTCATGACAGAGAAAAAAAGATTACTAAAACATGCTAGGCATTTAAAACTAATTTATTAAAAAGAAAACATTAACTGTTAGTGAATTAATAGATTTTTCTAGTTACTTTAGGCAAGATTTTTAGTGGTATTTAGGTGTCCACAACTGAAATAGGAACTTTTGAAAAATTCTACTGGCCTTAGGCATATTAGGCACCTAATTACCACTGAAAATGAATTTCAGTGGGAGTCAGCTACCTAGGGAAATCTTTCAGAAGTGCCTAAAAAAGTTGGGCAGTTATTTTCATCTTCAGGTGCCTAAATATGTATAAACACCTAACTCTACATCTTTCAAGTTAGATAATCTAATCCTTTTCTTGACTTGACTTGTGTTCATTACCTGAAAGAAGAATCTGTTTTGTTTTGTCTGGGCTGGAAGTCCTGCCCTGTCCTGTCCTACCTCATCCCATCCCTTTCCATTCTATCCCCTCCCCCACAAATCACTGGAATTTTTAATTACTGTAACTGGGGGAAAAATTCTAGCTAAATTGAAACAAAAATTAAGGCAAATAAATCTTTTCGGCACAACAGAAACGGAAAATACATCGGAAAAAATGTAAATATAGGCATTCTCTCCACTGCAAAGATGAAAAATAAAGGTATGAAGCATTACACTTATAAAGCTTGATTTGACCTTGAATGCATAGACTTTTACCCCAACTCTGTATACAAGTAAAGCAGGACCTTTTAATTGCTTAAAAAATTGAAGAGGGCTTTTTAGTGCAAATTATTTAAATTATTTTAATAGATTATGATAACCTTAGGCCTTAGAAGCTGACATGATTTTAAATTAAATTTTTTTTTTTAAAACAGAAAACTTTATTTGAATAAAAATTCAATTAAAATAAAATACATTAAAATTATTTTTACCAATTTTTATCCACCCTGAAAAGCTGTTTTCAGGTAAAAAAAAAAAAAACCCCATCACTATTTAGAAATATTTACTAGAAAAATGGAAATAAAGTAAAAGGGCAGGAATTTTTTTTTATGGAAGAAGTTATACATATAAAAAAAATCCCCAAATCAGCCATATAACCTTCAATGCTACAGAGCCTGTATTCACTCTTCAAATTCCTATATCCTGCACTGTGTTTTGAGATGGTCTTATCACCATTATCAATTGGACTATTGTTTGAGATCATTAAAAACTATGCTAGGGTAAGACCCATCTACTCACTAATTTTTCCACTGTTAGATAAACCACCTTTGGGCCTGTTAGTAAGTTACAAGAATTGTTTACATCATTACAAAGGGCAAGTATGAAACATTATCAATGACAAAACTTAATTTAAAAGTTGATCATTGAAAAATAACAATCAGAAGAATTTTGATGCTGAAATGCAGATTCACGTGTTCATCCAGTTGTGAATTAGCACATTTAAAAACGTTAAGAAAATACTTTGTGTTTCAGTTCAGCTGCACTTGATTCAAGTGCTGCCTGGAGATTTCCTTTATAAATTAAACCTGGTTGCTGCCTTAGCAGCTAAAAGTACCAGAAAAATGTACATGTTCACAAAATAAATAAAGCAGTCTTTTGTCAAAAAAAGTCATCTGACTCCAATACGGGAGGTTATCCATTCCAGACCCTGACATAACCTGAAAAGCAATGAGAGATGTTATTATGCTACTACTACTGTACTCCAAAACATTATAAATCTTAAACATTTACTTCTGTGCAATACATCTTTACAAAAGAGAATCCTGTTTCATCATTAATTCCAAGTACAAAGCCTGGATATATTTCTTTTAAAACTGTACTTGCACTAATCATCTGGATATATCTGGCATGCTGTTGACTGCAGCTGGACATTATTTCAGAGTTAAAACATGCATCTTATATATTTATTTTTTCCAGGGAAACAAAATTCAAGATAAATACTTACTTGAGTTTTTCCATTTGACAAGGCCAATGGCTTATCACCATGCTATACTGCAAACATCATTTTTCAAATGCTACATCATTATAACTAGGGATTCAGGTTTTCCGTTGGCCACAGAAAAATGTGGCAAAACCCAGATTTTCTCATTTTAAGATCAGTTGTGCCCCTTGTTGCTCCCAGGCTGGCAGGAAGGTGGTGTCTTGCCACAGGAGCGCCTCACCATGACAGCACGGGGCTCCCGGCGGCAGCACCGAGCTTTCCAGTCTGGTCCTGCTCTGCCTTGCTGTGCCTGGTCCCACCCACTCGGCTGTAAGGGCCCCTGGGAGAGGGCAGGGCAGGGAGCCCCAAGCCCACAGCAGCCAGCCCACATCCACCTCCCCCCCACCCCCCACCCATGGTCTCTACTCTGGCCCATGGGGCTGAGGGAGCTGGGCTCGCACTCTGCTCTGCTGCAGCAGTCACCATCTCCCGTGGGCAGTAGCTGCAGCTCACGCACTGCTGCAGGGGTACACGGGGCTGCAGACCCAGGTCCCTGACCCCATAGCCTTGGCAGCTGGGGGCCCCCTCTGGCAGGGCTGGGGGTGAAGAGTGAGGGGCACCAGCAGGGGAGGGGGGGAGCTCTGGGTAGGGAGCGAGGGGCAAATTGCATGGGCAGGGCACCAGCATATCAGGGCTGCTCAGCACCACAAAGCTGTGGCGGGGGGGGACGACGACGACAGCTGCAGCTGGACCTGCATCCTGGTGAGCAAAGGGGGTAGTCTTTGTTAAAAGAAAAACAAAAAGGATGAAAATCTACTGGAGATTTCCAGAAATATCAGAACATATAATGGCCTTATCCAAGAAAAAGTGTGTTTACTACTGACTCTTACAGTTACGCTAAAGGGCATGCTTCCATTTAGGATCAGATTCTTTATTCTACATTCAAATCAAAAGATGACCAAGTTTACAGAGAATTTAGGCAGGTACATCTTGAAAGGGTGATAGCAAGCAGAGAGGAAACAGGCCTGTATATGAAGCAAACCAGGATGTTTCATCCAAGGTACTGGAGGGTTCCAGAGGAGAAACACTATCGCAAAACACTACAAGCAAATTTTCTTCTGAAAACTCAGACTACTGGTGAGCAAGCTTCTGCCATCAGTAGTCCATATATTGCAAGTGGATGAACACATACAAACATTCCTGGATACCTACCCTTCTCCTGTAAGAGCACAGCAGGACTGTATGTGCCATGGATGATCCTTTATGGAGCTAAGGGTGAGGTATTTAGATATTTCAGCTGCTGTCATACAACCTTTCATGTCTTGCTTATTTGCAAAGATAAGAACTGAAGCCTTTCGCAAATCCTGCAAACAACACAGAAATATTTATAGCATTTAGGATGCTAATGTTATGATAAAGAACAAAAACGGTTATAGCGGCAGCTACATTTTCCAGACAATTGCATTCAAGTTATTTTACATTAAAATTATACAGTAACATTTAATTTTGAGTAGCTTATTAACATCATAACATGAATTAAAGTGGAAGACCAAATCCTGCCCCCCACCCCTTTTTTGGAGGTGATGAGTCATGTGACTCCTAATAAAGAATTGACAAGTAAAAAATATGGTATGATGCAGCTCAGTATACTGGATTACTAGTGAATGGACATTCTGAAATAAATGAGATATCAGAATGGAAGCTGTAACAAGCCATCATTTCACTGCATTCATTTTCAATTCCAAAAATTCTCTCAAATACAAAAACGAGAAGTTCATTTGCTAGTACAGGAAAAGAAGAAAATCTCTGCATCATAATTTGACAGAAGCGCATGATATCCTGCAAGAGTTACATCTTCTCTCTTAACAGAAGCTCCAGTTACCAGTGTTTTAGCAGTTACAGATGAACAGACTGTTGTTGAAACAAAAGTTTCAACTGTTGACTGAAACAATTTGAAGGGTAGAAGTGAGGAAGAGATCAAAATAAAATTTATAAAGACGAAATTATTAGGTTAACTTTAAGAAGGTGAATACAAAATCAAAAATATTTTAATAGTTATGGCAGTTGCTGCATCTGGGTACTTTAAGAAGGGAGGGGAGAAAAACCCCACCAAAAACCTGGAGGTGCTAATGCTACAAATACACAAACAGCCCTTACCTATGGGCAAGTGGTATTTGAATATTAGTCAGCATACTAAATCATATTAATTAAGACTACATGCATACATGTTAGCAATGCTAGGCATGCTGAAGTTATGAAGGAATGTTGCACACATGCATGAGGGGAAAAGTGAGACTTCTTGCCATCCGCTTGGCAAACTACTTACTTGACATTAGAGCAAAACTGACCTTAAGAACTGGTTCAATTCGTTACAAGGTACACTTTTTTTCCAAGTAAAAAGTTAGGAAAACTATTCCAGACTAACTTTTAAAATGAATTATTGGTACTGCATTAAACCCCTTTACTTCTGATACGTTCTTGTATCCCCTGCAAATGGTGAAATCCACAAATAAGGCTCTACATTCTTGAATGCAGTGCCCCCAGCAGCTTGGCGGCGGCCACGGCTCCGGCAGCGGAAGCCCAGTGGCAGCAAGCGTGGAGCTCAGCAGCAGCAAGCGCGGAGCTCCCGAGGAGCTCCTGTAAGCGTATAAAGTGCATTTAAAATGTGGGTTCAGCATTCATGAATATTTGAAACCATGAATAGCGAGGTTTTCCTGTATATGCTAAAATTTATCTACTTAAAAAGTTAATAAAAAGAGAAAAAAGAATGCCACACCCACAAAAAAACAAAAAAATGTAAAGCATGTTTATACTCTAGGTAGCCTTTATAGAGGAAAATGCTATATTCCTACAATAAAATGTGCCTTAGGAAGTTTACACGTCACATACATTAAAAAACTGGGATTCTAACGTACCTCATGGGCCAACATTCTGTAAAGTTCTTCTTTTGTGATAGAAAGCCGCTCTCTGTCAATGCTGTCAATAACAAGAATGATGAACTAGAGAAAACAAGAGTAAAAGCTTAACTCAGATGATCTTAAAATAAGTATGTTTCTTTGTAGGCCAAACTAAAAATAAATCTGCCGGAGAAGTGTTGGTAAGCAAGAGCTCTTCTATGCACAACAGAATCAGACTATCCAAACCCACTAATTGAACAGAATCTCTTAACCTAAAGACAAGGTACGTTATCCACAGGCATTTCACATGTAAATACAGTTCACACAAAAACTGCAGAGGTACAATTGTAGTTTTAGTCCCAAGACTGGTGTTATTGCAGGGCTAAGCTGCTTGCAATCTTCCACAAGGATATGCAAATTCCAGACTGCACATTTTCAGCAATTAATGCTGGAAGTTTGCCAGTGACAGTCTCATGTAAAAGTATTACAATTTCACAAACTAGTGATTTATTATATTTTTCTTCTATGAGACTAGAGTAAGATTCCCATTTTAGGCTTTCACTTTTCCCTGCCATTAGCAGAATTTAGGAATTCACTTTTCCCTGCCATTAGCAGAATTTAGAATTCCTTTCCTTACATGATAAAAAGTTGGTGTATGTTGGGGACCACAGCCACATATTTTTGCAGCACTTATGATCATGGACTTCTAGGCTAGGGACAGAAGATGCACATAAACTAGTTTAAGTGATCAGAAACCCGAACCCAGCAGCTACCGCTGCACCCCATACCCTATGCAACATCAGGGGCTGTACCCATACAACCAGCAGTGGCCAGGCCGAGCCTGTGGGGGCTGTCCTCCACTGCTTGGGAGGGGTGGGAGGGAGGACGAGGGGGACTAAGCTTCAGCCCTGTGGTTTCTACCCAGTGAGTGGAGCTTCGGCTCCAGCTCCCAGATGCCTTGGAAAGTGTCTGGGAGCTGCAGCCAGAGCTCCATGCGGTGGGCAGAAGCTGCTGGGCTGAAGCATCGTCCACCCCCCTGCCCACAGCAGCAGGGATGTGGGGGGCGGGAGGAAGTTACTTCAGCCCAGCTGCTTCAACCTGAGCTGGACTGAAGCGGCTGGGCTAAAGGAAGCTCCCCCACCCTGAACGGCGCTGCGTGGTGTGACAGGACCAGGATCCACACCTGGAGGTGAGGAAAAAAACAGCCCTGTCAGGCCAAGTCAAGCCTGCATCCCCTCACTTCCAGCAGCTACTCCCCCTTCCCTTCCTGC